GTTGTAGCCGGGGGGGCAACAACACAGTTTGAGCAGGAGCATCTTCCCTCACGAGGAAACAGGCTGCGAGCCCGGAAAGTGGCATTTTATTTATTTGAATCAGACAGTGTGCGCCGGTGGGAGGATCAGCAACTATTTTTGTTCACGGTTCGCGAATTCCCGCCAGCGCATTCAGAAGCCTTGCCCACGAGAGCCGACGGGAAATGAAAATCAGAGACGCATATCGTGAAACAGTGCGGTCAACCAGAGGGAGGGAGGAACGTGTTGAGCCATGATGGAGGCTATCTTGGAGCATCGGAGGCCTTCTCGGAGCTATGGGGCTTTTGGGGGGCGTCTTGGGGTCCTCTTAGGGCTCTTTTGGGGCATCTTGGGGCCCACTTGAAGCTATTCGTGGGGTCTTGGGGTCCTCGCGGTGCTCTTTCGGGGCGTCTTGGAGCCCTCTTGGGACCCCTCTTGAGGCCCTCTTGGGGCTGTCTTGGGGCTCTCCTGGGAGCTTCGGAGGGCCTCCTGGGGCCATCTTCGCCATTGATCAAAAGGGGCACTTGGATCCGTCTGGTGGCTCTCTTGGGGCCTCTTGGAGGCATGCTGTTAGCTATGTCGAGCCATGTGGGGCTATCTCGAGCGATGCTGAAGGCCATCTTGGGTTCTCTGGGGCCCTCTTGGAGCCTTCTTGGGCCAAGAAGGATCCTCTGACGACTCGTGGTCCCTACCCCCCTCCAGGTCCAGGGGAGGGGGTAGGGGAAGTGGTCAAGGCATCTTCTCCGCACGCAAGCCGTCCAGCTCACCCCCACCCGCCCTCCCACCAGATAAGTGACATCCGAGTCTTGGCATAGCCAGGGGTCGTCATTGGATGGACAGCCAATGGGAACCAAAGCGGACGTCAGGTGCGCGACGCTTGCCGCAGGTTCCACACGCGGTTGGTGTGCTATCCTTTTTATATTAAAAACATGATGTTGTCCTCCAGATCAGTCAGCATTGTTTTGGGCCTGCGCAAAGCAAGCATCATCATGCGCGCACCACCGCCGTCCCTGTGAAACAGTCAAACAACAATACAAAGTGATCGCGGGTGGCAAGCACAATACCCACGATGTTGTCGCAACGTGCGCTTTGCATTGTTTTTGGCACGTATGGTGGTCCTGCTCAAAGCGGTTTCTTCAAGGGTGTCCCGCCATCCCTTCCCAAAAAACATTACAACGTGTTCACAGGGCGCCAGCGCACTGTCCAGATTTTGCTGCAATGTGCACTTCGTATTGTTTTTGGTCAGAGATTGTGGATTGTATTGTAGTGGCCTCCGGCCAGTGCCGCCGATCCGGGACCCTCTGGGTGCTTGTGGACATGAACGACGACGAGGAAGACGAAAACGACGACGAAAACGAATACGTCGACGACGACGACGACGAGAGGACGAGAGCGACGACGACAAGGACCACGACGACGACGACGACGGCGATGACGACGACGACGCGAGCGACGACGACGACGACGACGATGACGCGAGCGACGACGACGACGACGACGACGACGACGACGACGACGACGACGACGACGACGACGACGACGACGACGACGACGACGACGACGACGACGACGACGACGACGACGACGACGACGACGACGACGACGACGACGACGACGACGACGACACGACGACGACGACGACGGGGGGGGAGCTGGGTTGCAGGGGGGGGTTTGCTCTGCAGGGGGGGTCCGCTCGGCAGAGGGAGGGGCTGCAGGGGAGAGGGGAGGGGGGGGGGGGTCCGCTCTGCAGCGGGAGGGGGTGCAGGGGGGGGGCTGCTCTGCAGAGGGGGGGGTGCAGGGGAGGGGGGGGGGGTCCGCTCTGCAGAGGGGGGGGGTGGAGGGGGGGGGTGGGTGCAGGGGGAGGTGGGGGGGGGGGGGAGGTCCGCTCTGCAGGGGGGGGGGGGGGGGCTGAAGGGGGGGGGGGTTCGCTCTGCAGGGGGGGGGGGGGCTGGGCTGCAGGAGGGGGGGGGGGGGGGGCGCTCTGCAGGGGGGGGGGGGGTCCGCTCTGGAGGGGGGGGGTGCGAAGCACTGAATTAGGTTGGAAATTAGGTCGGAAATGAGGTCCCCCCCCCCCCGCAGAGCGAAGTTTGAGCGAGCTCAAGCCCACGCTCTCAGAAACTCACACGCCGGATCGGCGGATTTGCAGGCTGGGCTCCGCAATGTGCATTTCGTAATGTTTTTTGACAGGGATGGTGGGGGGGGCTCATAATGTGCGCATGGTTCCCGGTTGGCTGCCGGCCGGGTGGGGGAGGGGGTGTTTATAGGGAACAGTGATCAAGCTACCCACCAGCCCGCAAGCTGTCTAGTCTATTAGGTCACCCCCACCCGCCCTCCCAACAAACAAGTAACACCCGAGCTTGAGCATGTTCAGCGGTCGTCTTTGGATGGACAGCTAGTGGGAACCAAAGCTGACCCCAGGTGCGCGACGTTTGGGCGAGGTGCACCACGCGTGCCCACGCCTGGTGCGCCAGATGCACCACGTGCTCCGAGTGCGCCAGGTGTGCTGCACACTTCAGCCGCGCCAGGTACGCCACGTCCTGGGCACGTGCAGAGTGCGTCTGGTGCGCTTGCGCACGTGACAGCACACATGGGGAAACATGTCGGCCTCCACCATCTTTGTCGAAAACCAATGCCCATCATGGTGACTCGTGGGTCTGCGCACAGCAGGCCACGCGCCACCACCCCCGCCGTCCCTGTCAAACACCACTTGACTGTGATCGCGGGATGGCCGCGCACGAACCAGATTTTGCCGCGAGGTGCATCTTGTATCGTTTTCTTGTCATGGATGGTAGCCCTGCGCCCAGCAGGGAATATGCTAACACCCCCGCCGTCCCTGTCACAAACAATACCATGTGTTCGCGGGCCTCACGAACATGACTCAATACTTCGTCCCTAAGTGTATGTCGCATTGTCTTTCTGACAAGGATAGTGAGGAGGGCCTCATCGGATTGGCCGCGCATGCTCCAAATGTGGAAGCCAAGTGCGTTTCGTACTGTTGTGTTGACAGGGGTGAGGTGGGGGGCTCATGTGGTTGGCATGGTTCTGGGTTGGCCGCCGGCCGGGTGGGGGAGGGGGTGTAAATAAACACAGAAAATTGATTCACCATCCCCGAAGGGGAAAAAGAGGCTCTTGGAAGAGGGAAGCAAGACATCGTTAGACTGCCTGCGCCCAGAGGGCTTGTGGGATTCCGAAAATCTCCTGTGTTGGGTATTCGTTTTGAATAGAATACTGTGGTCTCCTCTTAACCGTCCTTCTCCCGCCTCCCTCCTTCTTTTTCTTCAATCCTGCCTCTTATTACTCCTGCCTGCGACCCTGCTTCCTGTGTCGTCGTTCTGCCTGGATGCTTTACGGGGAGTTGCGATATACGAAATTGTCGCCACTTCCGAGGCTACAGTGGGGTCCACATGAGTGACGTGCTACGCAGATTCAGACTAGACCTCGCCATCCATGTGGGGCTGCGATCTGCGAAATTGTCACTTTCGAGGGGGGTTGGGGGTCCAGCGGAGTGACGTGCTACGCAGATTCGAATTCGACCTCGCCATCCCTGTTGGTCTGCGATTGTGCAATTGTTGCCACTTTCGAGAGGTGTTGGGGGGTCAGTAGGGTGACGTGCTACGCCGATTCAGGCTAACCCTCGCCATCCTTGTGGGGCTGGAATCTTCGAAATAGTCGCCACTTTCGAGGGCTGCTAGGCAGTCTGCCGGGCGACGTGCTACGCAATTTCAGACTAGACCTCGCCATCCCTGCCGTCAATTTGGGAGATGAGGACGTGGTGGAGGCAGCGAAGGCCAAGCGACGTCCGGCGTATCTGTGGTACCTGTCGCAAGGCGTGTGGGTGCGCATGGACAAATACGAGGCCAGCCCTCGCGGCAAGAAGCTCGCGGAGCTCGATGTCAGCATCGACGCCGCGGGCGTGGCCCGCCGCGTCTTCATCGAACCGCACGGTTCGAGCCCGTTTGGCTTTCGGAAGCAGAAAGTCACGCGTGCCAGCCTGGCCATCTCCCATGCCGATGTTCTGACTTCTGCGGCCTGCCAGGCCGCACCATGCACCGCGGTGTCACTGTCGACGCCGGGTGCAAGGATGAAAAGAAAATAGACGACCTTTGGCTGCATGTCTACGTGATGCTGTCGAGAGCGACGACCTTTGACAACCTCTTGATGATGCGCGGCCCTGGCTTGGATTCCCTGCCGCCCGCAGACCTGGCGGCGCGCTTTCGAGCGTTTACTTAGCCCCCGCGATGAAAGGTGCAGGAAGGAGGCAGAGAACCTGGCGGGCTAACTAGGCCCCGCTCGCTTGTTGCATTAGCTATAAGCATATGGAATGGTTGCAAGCGCCGCGCCGACATGTCGCAGGCAGCGTTGCATCTTTAGCGCAATACCGACAAAAGCAACGGTGTCTTGTCCCCTCCCGTCGTTTCCGCTCCCCCTGTCACCTTCTCTCTCCTGCTGCCTCGCTGGCTGTGCGGCCCCATCCATCGCATCTTTCTCCTGCTCTTCAGTTTTCGCCCCCATGTTCTTTCTTGAACTTGGGCCCTCGCTTGTCGTGTGATGCGTGTCACGTGCGCGTACCCCACATAGCTTGCGCAATGTACAATGCCGCCTGCACGGTCATTGTCCTGGCAAGTTTGGGCCAACTCTTCTTGTCATGTAATGCAAATGCGATGGGTCCGTCACAGGGTAAGTTTCAATGGTGGGAGCTCAAGGACAACACGCGTGCTAAGACTGTTCGCTCCTACCCGATCGCGTGCCATCTTACACGTATATATTAAGCCCTCGATGCCCGCCTTCTTCGTTTTCGATCTACCCCGTTGTGTTTATATCTTGCATACCCGCCGCGCGTCATTGGTGCAGCCGTGAACAGAGGAAGGGGGAGGACGGATGGAAAGGGGAAGGAAAAAAATGGAGCACGGGATTCGCAGGAGAGGTCCAGGTGATCGCCGACGCCTGGCCGCCTGTGCGCTACGCCCCGATTTCGGGCCTGCGGACCGGGCGGTGCGGTTCGACGACGAACGCGGATGGCTCGCCGTGGACCTCAACGGCGCCCTGGGGGGCAATTGCGCCGCGGCGGCGCTGCCCCGCGCGGGGGAGTAGGACTCCTCCTCCTCCTCCTCCTCCTCCTCCTCCTCTTCCTCGTCCTCCTCCCCGTTTTCCTCCTCCTCCTCCTCCTCCTCCTCCTCTTCCTCCTCCTCCTCCTTCTCCTCTTCCTCCTCCTCCTCCTCCTCCTCTTCCTCCTCCTCCTTCTCCTCCTCCTCCTCCTGCTTCTCCTACTCCTCTTCGCCCCTCCTCCTGCTCCTCCTCCTCCTCCACCTCCTCCTCCTCCTCCTCCTCTTCTCCTCCTCCTCCTCCTCCTCCTCAATCATGGAACCGAAAACGTAAACATTGCTTTCAGATGTCCGCGTGGTTTTATTGAATCCGCGCCGGACCGCCTGACGGCACATGCAGCTCCGCCCCTGCCGCTTTCCGCGCACCAGGGATGGGGGCCCAGCGCCGATCCAAGACATCTGCGCAGAGCTCCGAAAGTTGATGCTCATACATTTGCTCCTCCCCATACCAGGGGTGACGTAGGGGGGGTTAAAGGCTTAGAGGGGGGAGCGCATCGATCCCGAGTCGCCCATCGATCGCCGACACGAGGCCCGATAGCAGCCCAGCCCCGCCCCGCCCATGAGCGTGTGGGCTTCGCAAGCTGGGGCCTACCGTGGAGGCCCATGTCAAGACACACCCTGCTTGCCTCCACGGTGCCCTGGGTTTCTTGGGCTTCGATGGCTTTGCCATGGAGAGCTTGACGCTACCACACCAGAACTCGGTGGACGTCCTGGGGTCTCAGGGTTTGGGTTTCTCGTGGGAGGTTTCCTTGGGTACTGGCCTCCACTGATCCGCCGATCTTTCGGCGATGCATTGCCGCTTTCTGCTCGATGTCTCTTCCCCCGAGCCAGCCCCTACCCAACGCTTCCTCTCGAGGACGGCCAGGGCGCCCCGCCCGGGCTCCACCCGTCGTGTGTGTGTGTGTGTGTGCACGGCACCTCGCTGCCAAGACACCCTCGCGTCGTGAACGAAGCCACGGCGGGCGGTGGTCGGCAGTCTTCGGCCGGCCTCCGCGGGCCTTCTGCTAGTTTCCTGGGGTCGTCAGAGAACGGCCCAGGAGGAAGAACTGGTATCCAGACCTCTTGGAGAGCCACCCTACTGGGATGACCGTGGGGGGTTCTAAGTGGATAGGGGGGTTACGCGTGGATGCCCTGGTGGGTTATATCTGGCCCAACCTGGCTTATAGGTGGGTTACAAGCGCCCCGCATGGCTTAGGCGGGCTAGATAACTCCGCTAAGTGGGCGGAGCCCACTTAGCCCGGATCGTCAGACCCCCTAAGCTACTTAGGGCACTTGTAACCCACTTATAAGCCAGGTTGGGCCAGATATAACCCACCTTAGCATCCACGCGTAACCCCCCTATCCTCTTAGAACCCCCCACGGTCATCCCAGTATGAAAAGCTCACAACGTCGGATGTCTGAGCCTTCTCCACCGCCGTGAGTGGCCAGGGCCGCCTTGGGCCCCATGATGGTTCAGGAAGACCGCCACCTGCCGCGGCCGGGAGGGCGTGCCACAGTCTCGGGTTGCAGCTCCAATCTCTTCCGGCGCGGGTTCGATCCAGGACTCTCTGCTGGCTCGGTCGCCAGTAGTCCAGTTCGGTGTTGCTCAATTGGCATCACCCCAACGTTCTAACACTACGTGTGCGTCGCCCCCCCAGGCAGGGGCGACGCGCGCTCAGAGAAATCTCCTAGCATATGCGTCGTGGCGGGCGCTTTCTGTCCACGCCTCTCGGCAAGCGATCTACTGCAAGATGGGCATACTGCCTGCTCGGGTCGGACGCGCGCCTCCGGGGAGGACACGCAGCACCGGCGTGTCTCTCCGTGTCCCGCTCGGTCCTGCCTGACGGCCCCTCCTCCCTGGTTGCGACGGTTATGAAGGCCTGCACCCTTGCCACGAAGGCCTCCCCACGCGAGCGGCCTCCCACACGCAGTGCTTCCGGGCCCCCATGGGCGGCCCGGCGCCGCGGCGCCGCGGCGGTGCGCAATGGCCCGCCTGCCCCCCCCCCCCCCCTTGCGCGCCGGAGCCTCGGCGCCTACCACCTCGAGTCAGGCAAAAGGCGGATGCTATCCAGTGGAGGCCCATGCCAAGACACACCCTACTCGCCTCCAGGGCGGCCTGGGTTTCTTGGGTTTCGATGGTCTTGCGATGGAGTGCGTGGCGTCCCCACGCCAGAACTCGGTGGACGTCCTGGGGTCTCGGGGTTGGGTTTCTCGTGGAAGGTTTCTTGTGGTCGAGACCCTAATGTAGGCCTCCTGAAGATGGGATCGGAGCAGATAGGGTAAGAGGATCGCGCCGCATCGCCGATGCACCGCGGATGGTGCGGCTTGATGTGGAGCCCGATTGGTTTCACGCCGCCTTCGCTGAGGCGCCGCCGACGTCTACAATGCGTCGCTGGTGCATCCCCAAGGCATCGCCGATGCGTCGCCGAGGCATCGGCGATGCGGCGCGATGTCCCGACCCCATCTGCTCTTAAGTCGGGCCTGTCTCTCTACAGGCGGCATATTCAAAAATAGTCAAAAGTTCGTTTGGGATCGATGTTTTACACTTGTTGCGTATCTTTGATTATTGTTGGACAATGTTTTTATTTTTCGTCCAAAATCCGACTGTAGGAGGATACGCCCGACCTAATCTACTCTGGCCCATCTGGGAGGCCTCCAGATGAGCGATGCCGAGGCCACTCGCCCGGGAGACTCGCCCGCCGCTGCCGCGCACCGCTCCCCACTCCCCTTGTGCGCCGCCCCCGTGCTCGGGCAGCTGCCGAGCAACAAAAAAAGGCTGCCCAGGCGAAGCCTGAGAGCCTGGCGTCGCGATATTTTTCGTTGGCCCATCAAGCTGCCTGGGTCTCGGAGGGGTCCTCCTCCTCCTCCTCCTCCTCCTCCTCCTCCTCCCCTCCTCCTTCCCTTCCCTTCCCTTCCCTTCCCTTCCCTTCCCTTCCCTTCCCTTCCCTTCCCTTCCCTTCCCCTCCTCCTCCTCCTCCTCCTCCTCCTCCTCCTCATCATCATCATCCTCATCCTCATCCTCCTCCTCCGCCTCCTCCTCCTCCTCCTCGGCCTCCTCCTCCTCATCGGCCTCCTCCTCCTCCTCCGCCTCCCCCTCCTGCTTCTCTCCTCCTCCTCCTCCTCCTCCTTCTCCTCCTCCTCCTCTTCCTCCTCCTCTTCCTCTTTCCCTCTCCTCTCCTTCCTCTCCTCCTCCTCCTCCCCTCCGCCTCCTCCTCCTCTTCCTTTAAGTTTGCTGTTTTGGCCCTTTAAGTAACCGACATGGTCGCAATATCCGTAACTCCTCCTCGGTTTCCTCCTCCTCCTTCTCCCCCTCCTGCTCTCCTCCTCCTCCTCCTCCTCCTTCTCCTCCTCTTCCTCCTCCTCTTCCTCTTCCCTCTCCTTCTCCTTCCTCTCCTCCTCCTCCTCCTCCTCCTCCTCCGCCTCCTCCTCCTCTTCCTTTAAGTTTGCTGTTTGGGCCCTTTAAGTAACCGACATGGTCGCAATATCCGTAACTCCTCCTCGGTTTCCTCCTCCTCCTTCTCCTCCTCCTGCTTCTCCTCCTCCTCCTCCTCCTCCTCCTCCTCCTCCTTCTCCCCCCCTCGGCACTCATCCGCACGACTCCTCGGCTCCCACAGTTCCGTGAGCATTTGCGGGCGGCCCCACAGTTGCGCGGGTGGCGCGGTCGCCGGCCGCGCCCAGCGCTCGGAATCCCTGGCCCGCCGCCGTCGAGAGCGACCGCGGGGCGCGCGCCCGCGCGCGAGTTCCCCCTCCTCGCTGCGGGGTCGGCAGGGGGCGCCGACACCCATCGACGTGGGTGTGAGCACCCCAATGAAGGGTGGCGCCTTGCAACGCCGCGCGCGATTTGTGGAGCTGGGCGTTTTCGCCCTCGTTCGGGCCTCGGGAACCTCGCAGGTCGACCCTGCGATCAAAGCACAGCAGACAGGTGATGTCCAGGGCTTCGGACGTGATGTCTCGCGGTGTTCCCGAACATCCTTCGATCTGATGTTTCCAATCCGCGGCCCCAGAGGTCCCGACCCCTTCCCTGGGGGCAGTTTTGCTCCAAGGATCCCTTTTTGATGGTCTAGGGGCCAATCGTCGGGCCCCGGAGGCCAAAATTGAAAAGATTCGCCCGGATTCACAAAAAGCTGGTCGTTGGAAATCTGGGTTCGTCGGATCACAGGGGAAGAGGGGCATGAGTGGTGCGGCAAGACGTCCGGCGGACGAATTGCCTTCCACCGCAGCGATCCTTTTGCACCTCGGCCTCTGGTGGCCCCGGGGCCATCACGACCTTGACGATCCAGCGTGGAAAACATCGGCTCCGAGGAAGGGGTCCGCAGTGCCCACGGAGAAAATGTCATAGGCCAGTGGTGGTGGTCCCGTTCGCGGGGCATCCCGCAAGCTTGCGTCCCACATGTCAGCAGATTCTGCACCCCTTGGGTGGTGGTTGTGAGCTGCTTTCGCTGCTGCTGCCTCCTCACAGCCGCTGCCTCGCCATTCTCCCCCCACACCCACTGCCTCCTCGCCCCCCTCATCCAGGATCGACGACTAGAATTTCATGTGTCGCTTGTTCCGAATCCTGCCGCTGGAGCTCGTACCCCAGTGCCGGCAGTGCGTTTGAGTTGTCCCCCGGTCTGGAATCGGCCCCACGGGCCCGGACAGTGCCACGGACTCTGGCGCGTTTGCTTCGAGTCGCCAGGAAGGTCGAGTCGGATGCCCTGGGCCTTGCTCCCGGGGTGCGTCCCGGACCGCCTCGCGGGGCGAAGCCAACCGTGGCGACGAGAGTTCCCCAGAAGAGACCCTAAAGGGACGAGTAGCGTTCAGAAGCACGGGTCCTCGACCAATGTGGGGAGTCCGCGGCCCCGGGCCAGGTCGTGCCATGGTTCTGAAAGCCAGTTGTCTCTCGAGCTGTGATTGCTCAGTTGTGCGCCCCCTGGAAACCCGAAAGGGACGAATAGCGTTCAGAAGCACGGGTCCTCGACCAATGTGGGGAGTCCGCGGCCCCAGGCCGGGTCGTGCCATGGGTCTGAAAGCCAGTTGTCTCTCGAGCTGTGGTTGCGCAGTCAGTTGTGCGCTTGGAGCGCTTCGGCAGGCTCCCCTGCAGACTCGGCCCTGGCTCTCCAAATGGGGTCCGCGTAGATGGGGTCGAAGGATCGCGCAGCATCGACAGTGCATCGACGATGCGGCTTGATGTGAAGCCAGAGTTTCTCCACGCCGATGGCGCCGATGCATCGGCGATGGATTAGCGATGGGGCGGCCCGATCCTCTCATCTACTTGGGCCCCATCTAGGAGGCCTCTAATTACTCGAGCCTCGGTGCCTACGGAGCGCGCAGCGCATACACGCTTGCATGCACGCCTGCCCACAGCAGAGCCTACGACGATAGAGTTCCAAGCATCCGAGGTCTTGATCTTTTCAGTGTCGGGCTCCCCGAAGTCCCCAACCCTTTCCCTAGGGCCAGCTTCTCATCCCGAGTCGTCCTCTGACTCCCCCCGGGTCCCCGCGGAGGCCGAAGGCTAATTACTGAATTGCCGTCGCGTTTTGTCCAAGGCGCGAGCGCGTTTGGGGTTTGCAATTGTGCACTTCTGCGACGTGCGGCAACGATGCTGATCTCCCCCACCTATCTGATGCTCCCCAGGACGTATGTTAGCCCAATGTGCATGTTATCCCTTCTCAGCTACACCGATAGTAGGCGAGTCGGGTATACAAGTTGTCTCAGCATGTACAGCAACGGTGCTCTTTCCCCTCCGCCCCCCCGTTGCCTCCTCTCCCTCCGCTCTGTATTCCAATGTCGTGATGCGCTTTGTTTTTCTGCGTCGCAGTCGTGATGCGCTCGATTGTTCCGCGTCGCAGTCGTGAGGCATTCCGATTCTGCTTCACAGTCGAGTCCGTGCGTGCACGCAGCCGCTCTGTAATGTCTTTTCAGTCATACTTTTCTGAAGAGTTGCCAATCGCGCACTCTTCTGCCCACGCGTCTCTCCGGACGCTCGGCTCAGTAGTGGTGGTGGCGATAGCAAGCAGCTTGTGTCGGCCCTCATTACACCACCTGCATCGTGCTGCCCATTTCGATCCCATCGATCCGGCTCGATATGGATCCCGCCTTGCTCGATCCGCTTGGATTCCGATGTTCGAGCGGCCAGACGCGGCCCGATGCCCGCATGGCGTTGCTATGCATCCTGGCGCGGCCAGTCCGATCCGATTTCGACTCCCTTGACGATGCAGGCCAGGTCCGAGGGGGTGGGGTCGGAGGATCGCGTTGCATCGCCGATGAGTCGCCGACGCGGCTCGGTGTGGGAGTCGGCGCGGAATCGACGTGGACTCGTGGATGCGGCGTGGACTCGGCCCAGATCCGAAGCGAATGGCGACGCGGTGAGGCAGGCAAAGGTCCCCCGAAGGATGCAGCCCAAGCTCCGGCCCGATCGCCTTTGCCGATTCGATGGAGGCCATTCCTCTCTATAGGCTCTGGAGGGGGGAGGCGGCTCGGGCCCGGCGAGGCGGGAAGGGAACCCTGGACCCCACGCTCGTTGTGGCTCGCCCTCCATGGGCCTCCCGACGGCCTCTCGCCGCCACGGCCGTCGCCGAGGAGGAGGAGGAGGAGGAGGAGGAGGAGGAGGAGGAGGAGCTGGAGAAGGAGGAGGAGGAGGAGGCGGAGGAGGAGGCGGAGGAGGAGGATGAGGAGGAAGACGAGGAGGAGGAGAGAAGGAGGAGCTCCGAGCAGATCTGGGCGCCGCCGCTGCCGCAGCCAGACCGGCCAGCGGTCTCGGGGCACCCCTCTCCCCGGCGGCGCGCCAGCTGCGCCATGAGCCTGGCGCAGCTGACGGCGCTGGTCAAGGCCGGCGGCGCGCGCACCTCCTCCTCCTCCTCCTCCTCCCCCTCCTCCTCCTCCTCCTCCTCCTCCCCCTCCTCCTCTCCTCCTCCTCCTCCTCCTCTCCTCCTCCTCCTCCTCCTCCTCTCCTCCTCCTCCTCCTCCCCCCCCCTCCTCCTCCTCCTCCTCCTCCTCCTCCTCCTCCTCCTCCTCCTCCTCCCCCTCCTCCTCCTCCTCCTCCTCCTCCTCCTCCTCCTCCTCCTCCTCCTCTTACCAACGGGTGGCCCAAGGCATCGTACCCAATTGGGCTCGAGCTAGCCATGGAACACCCAGCCCATTGCCTTCTCGTGGCGCTTGGGGGGCTCCCATCACAGAGCCGTTTTTAAGATAGCTGTTCCCGGTGTGGGATGGCAAGAATGGGCGAATTCAGGTATTGCAGCTTTGTATTCCAATTTTCGCATTTCCCGAACACCTTCCTCGGCATCCCGTCCGCACCGGGGGGCACAGGGGCTTCGAGCCCATCTAAGCCCCACTCGGGCGGCGGAGCGCGGCTGTGTTCGTCGAGGTGCTCTCCTTGGCGATCTTCTTCGGCATCCCGTCCGCAACCGAGGGGCACGGGGGTTTCGAGCCCATCTAAGACCCACTCGGGCGGCGGCCTTGTCGATGGAGCGCGGGTTCGGGAGCTATTTCCCCAGTCAGGGATTGCCTCTGTAGGGGCCCTAGCTGATTCGTAAGGTTAGGTTAGCGTGGCCGCCGATTTTCGCTGCACCCCCACGTGCCCGGGGGTGCCCGGGGGTGAGGTTGGCCGCCGATTTTCGTTGCACGCCCGGGAGCCCGGGGGGTGCCCGGGGGTGCCCGGGTGCCCAGGTGCCCGGGTCCCCGGGCGTGCAGCCCAATAACACTACAGCCCAATAGCCCTGTAGCCCTATATACTATCGCAATATCAAAAAAGATTCTGATTAGGGCTTGTTTTCCGGTATCATTCAATTTAGTATTCTTTAACCATCTGGTTGTATTGAAGGGGTGAACACACCGTCGCTCGATTGCTGTGTTGTGGTCCTTTGGTATTGGCTGTTCGTGAGGCTGTCTGTGGAGGAGGCGATCCGTCTGGGTTGCCCGATGACCAGTGGTGTTCTCACCCTGATGAATGGCCGTATCGAGTCGAATTGATTTCAGTTTGACCTCTGCCATGCTGTGAGATTTTTTGCGCCTTGGGCGCTGTCATTGTCTGGAGGAACCCCCCATCCGCGGTATCATGTGGGCGTTCCACGGGCTTCTCTTTCAGCCGGCCGCGTACGGGTTGAAGTGCGTCTCCTTCTTGTTCGTCGGCTTCTACGGCAAGCTCCGGGGGGCGTGTATTACTGCAAATTTGATCGTTACGCGACGGTGGAGTCCCTGGGAATCCCCCTCCTCCGCCTCATCCTTGTCATTCCCCTCCTCCGTCTCCTCCTCCACCTCTTCCTCCTTCTCCTCCCTTCTCTCATCTTCATCCATGACGTTGATCGACTCAGAATCCTAGGATTGCACATCAATTTCCTCGCCATACAAATAACCTCTCCCTGCCGCACCCCGAGGCCAGTTTTCACGGCTGGCCCGGCTATTCGCTTGAAACGTCGTTACCTTTTTATGATTGTGAGGGTTGAAAAGTGGCAGCAGCTTCGCGAATAAGGGGCGGGTCGTTTTCAAAATGTAGCTCTCGCCTTAGCGCCGCGCACGCTCGTTGCGCAAATTTGCAAGAGCTTTACGGATTGAGGGCGGATGGTTTTCAAAAGGTGGTTCTCGCCTTAGCGCCGCGCACATTCATTTCTTAAGTATTTGAAAGAGCTTCGCAGATGAAGGCGAGGGGTTTTCAAAATGTGGCTCCCGCATCAGCGCCGCGAACATTCGTTCTAAACCTTTTCAAGAGCTTCACGGATTGAGGGCGGGTCGTTTTTGTCCACGGTTTTTCTTTTTCAAAATGTGGCTATCGCTGCTGTGCCGCGCGCATTGGTTTAAGAAGTTGCAAGAGCTTCACGGATTGAGGGCGGGTCGTTTTCAAAATGTGGCTCTCGCCTTAGCGCCGTGCACACTCGGCTTTAACATTCGCCAGGGCTTCGTGGATTGAGGATGAGTCCTTTTCAAAATTTGACCCTCGGCCCAGCGCCGCGCACACTCGTTTTGCAAATTTGCAAAAGCTTGACGGATTGAGGTCGGTTCTTTTTCAACATATGGTTTTCACACTAGCGCCACGAACATTCGTTCTAAACATTTGGAAGAATTTCACGGGTTTCCATGATCAACGTACCAGAACAGTGCAACAGTTGTGTTGTGTTGTTTCGCGGGTGCAACAGTTGTGTTGTTTCGCGGTGTTGAAGTCCCCGATTCCGGATCGTCAAGACGCAGCAGTCAAGTTGGTCCGTGGCGATGGAATCCCGAGAACAATGGCTTGGCATGCTTCAGGGTCTTCAAACGGTTGTCTTCCAACGCGGCAGTTTTTTAATGGATATGAGCCGCTGTAGGGACTTATGAAGAGGGAGCTTGGAGGGAGGGTTAAGTCCAACATCGTTGATGAGTCTTGGGTTTACACTGGTCCTCCTCCTCCTCTTCCTCTGCCCCCCCTCTCCTCCTCGTCCCCGTGGTCCCCTCGTCCTCCCCCTTCTCCTCCTCCCCCTCCTCCTCCGCTCATCCTCCGAGGCGGAGACTTGTCCGTGCCCGCTTCCTGTGGGGAACTGGTCTCCCTGGATCTCGGGAGGCCGTGAACCTGGATCGGCTACAGGTATAGGTGCGACCTTCCGCCAGAGAGACCCCTATAGTGCGGGCCTAGGGGATGCCCTGGATCGCTGAGTGCGACGTGGGAGTAGCTTTAAGTCCAGCATGTCCGTCTAAAGGAGGAAGATTCAAAAATAGTCGAAAAATAGTCTGCAGAGGGACGATGGTCGAGTATTTTGACTATTGTCTTTTTTTGTTATTGCTATGGTTCGTTTCCTTCCAAAGACCGCCTGTAGGAGGACGCGCCCACTTAAGAGCAGCTGCTTGTGTCCTGGCCCCTCGCACACACACTCTTGCTAGCTCCGGCCTTGGGCAGGGTCGGGCTGAGCTCGCAGGGCTGACGGGGAGCCGGGAGGGGACTCGCGCCGATCGCCTGCGCAGCACGGAGGCGCGAGTGTTCGCAATTCCCCCTCCGCGCAACGCCGCGCGCGAAAATTTTGTTTCTCATCATCAAGATGGCGGGCCGGAGCTTCTGGGAAGGCGGAGGGCGGGAGGGAGGCTCCTCGGCAGCACGCCCGGGCCTCTCAGGAGGGCCAGCCTGTCGAGCATCGCGTGATAATGGTGGGCCATAAGTGGGGCTTTCCAAGAATGGATTTGCCGTCGAGGATAGAAGGAGTTGTCACTTCTTCCGCGGCGGAAGTCGGCGGAAGGTCGGCGGAAAACGAGGCCGCCTCCGCCAACGTTAGCCAGCGGAAGGGCGGCGGACGGTGGCGGAAGTGAAACGTGTGTTCCCAAGAGATGAACACGTTATTGGGCTTCCCTGAGGAGCTGCAGAAACGGAGCCCTCGAGGGCCCCCAGAGGGGCCCGTCTGGGGCCGAGAAGGGGGCCTGCAGGGCCCGAGAGGTGCACCTGCCCGCCCCCCCCCAGTGCGTCGCCACCCCACGAAGCGACGCCCAAGCCTCCGGGCCCGTCACGAGAGGCTTCCAGCCGCGGCCCTGGGCTCCCGACCCCCTCCCCCAGCCCTTCCCCCAGAGGGGGGGCAGCTTTTGTGCTGCGCCCTGGCTGAATCGAGCCGTGGATGGCCCCCGGGGGCAGGTGCGCGACTGAAGGTGCAGTCGGGGCCTTGACCTAAGGAACCCAAAATAAGGAACGAGGCCCCTTTTTTCCATAAGTTAATCTTCGATGTCCGATCGAAAGCATAAGGAAAACCTGAGGCAAGCTGCGAAACAAGTTAGGAACGCGGAGCCCCTCCCCAACGAAAAGGGTTCCTTCTTCAGGGCCCCGACTGTCTGAATCACATCGTCGGCCTGGGGCATGGGCCCCTGCCTTCTCGGAGGCCCCCCTGCCCAGCCTCAGCAGATGGCCACCCCCCCGGCGCCCATCCCCCCCCTGGTGCGTGTCGACCTGATGGATCCGATTCTGGCCAGCCCGATCGGAGTCGATGCCCGTGCTCCGACGACCCCCGCTGTAGCCCGAGGCCTAAACGGCACCGTGGGGCAGCCTGGCGTGGCCGATCCCATT